GTAGGACGACTGGAAAGTACCAGAGGGAGAGAGAGAACGTAGGGTGTTGTATTGTATCGTAGGGGAGTGCATGAATATCGCATTACAGACTAAGCAGTGTATAACTTTTGGAGGAAGTCCGCGGTAATCGAAACCTGCGAACATTGCACACCAGATCCATTGTGGTGGACTCTCGATATTGCAATAGGACTGTTTGTCGACCGATTTTGCGTTCGAGATCGACGCGATACTTTCACAGGGCTGTAATTAAACAATGGATTTTAAAACGATGGGTTCTCCCTCTCTCGCATTTATTATTATTATTTTTTTTTTTTTTTTTTTTTTTTTTTTTTTTTTTATAATTCTTATGGTATATAATAGTGACACGACATATTCCATCTACACCTCTCCCTCGTTATTTACGTATTTACGTCGTGTATACACTATTGCTTTATTTTAATCAATCTATTAATTAATTTGTGGAATAAAAGGAAAGAAACCGTTGAATCGTGCTGAAACTGAAAAGAAATTTGATGTGCCTCATCATACAGTAGAGCGAAGAATAATAGGTTTGCCATTCATTTTGATTAATCAGGATTTTTCTTGCTATACCATTTAACGTTAAATATAGTATTGCAGCATATACTATATAGTTTTCAGGATTTTTATTATTTGTACATACATAGACAAACACACGAGAACATACGGCTTTTATACCAGTTATTGCTTTCTACATTGAACAAAAATAAACAAATCTTTATCAGGTGCAGGAGATCAGATAAAGTTGTATAAATAATATTCAGTATATATAGATTGAAGCAAAGTTACTTTTAATAAGTATAGTATGAATTATACAATATTATAATTGAAATCTACTTTTATTTAATTTTATATCGGCTATGCTAGGAAAAGATATAACTATTTGCAATGAAAATGGCTAGTTCTAGGTAACGGTATTCTAACGATACGAATCGTCCTCGATCAATAATTTTGACATAATGTATATAATGTTATAATCTGGCAGGATCAATACTAATCTTACGAATGTAATAGTGTAAGAAATTCCTTGTATTCTCTCGGGAATTTAATAAGACGACTGGAATCATAGTACATCCACTGGCATAGGACAAAGAAACTCGTGCTCGCTTTACTTAAACAGCATGATAAATAAGAAAAATCCGAGCTCGCGTCAAGTAGACAAGTAATGAAACGCTTCACAACCCTTGTGATTTATTGCCGGTTAGGCGATACGATCTACCGTCATCAACAGAGTTAAAATTGCAAACAATTTAATTTATAGCATGTGGTATTAATTAAAAATCACGCTCAGTTATGCCTCGGTAACACCCACGTAAACATTATTTGTTCAAACCTTCAGGTTGAAAAACGTATCATTCAATTTAGCTTTAAATCTAAATCAACCCCCCCCCCCCAACACCACCCCCGCACTTCACCTTCGTATTCCGCTAATCCTGAATTCAATTAGGTTTTTCTATCACTTATAAGCAACTCGTAGGCCACTGCGTCGTAATCCCAGAATGTCGACTATATAAGTTTCATTATCGTAAATACTAATTAATTGGTGATTATGCAAATGAGTTTATCAACAGACCACCGAAGAAAATGCTGATATTGTTTTTGTCGCATTTTATGCTTGGATGGTTAGATAGAGCATGCTAAAACAATATTAAATAATTTTATTGAAATAATCTATTATTTATCCTGCAATTATTATAGATTAGGAGGAGCGCGTAAATAATTTTTCACCTATGTTGCGCAAATTTGCTCTCTGGGTATGCAACTTGTCCTTCTTAAATTGCTCGCGTAATTGTAAAATCCGAGTACGTAAAGCAATCCATAGTAAATTAGAAATACATAAAATTATATCGTAATAACTCCATCGATCACCGCTCCGTTTCATCTCCCTCGTTTCTTTCTCTACCTAACGAAACTTTACTATTTCACAATCTCTCATGGAAGCAGCGATTAAGTAGAAACTGTATTTGTTAAGTAAAAGTTAAAACAGTAATTCTTTTGATATCATCTTCCCTTTCCAAGTAATTAGTCGCGGAATCGACGATGTAATTAACCGCGTGCTTTTTGATGATTCTTATAAGATAATACGAGCGTGATCGAAATGCCCGACGACCATTACAAACAAGTTTCTTTAATTACAGTTTATTATCTTATTCTTGTAGTTTCTTTTTGAGAGCAGCTTTCGTCTATCTATCTCACTTAAAGATTTCAAAAAGACAAATGTGGGAAATGCACACGTATTTTCTCCTTCGTTCAGTACAGTAAAACTTAATGCAGCTTTCTCTCTCTCTCTCTCTCTCTCTCTCTCTCTCTCTCTCTCTCACGTTTATTTAAAATTTTTACGTTTTTGTCTATCGTATCGAAGATTTGTTTATAATATAATACACCAAACTGTTGCGCAGTTGGAATTGATTGGAATAATTTCAAGAATGAAACAATCACTTCCAATTTCTGAGATGTCATCTTGCCAAAAGTGAAAGCAAAA